GTATACGCTGTGTCCAACTGTGTCCCGCTGCAGCGTGCGCTCAGTAGGGGCGGCCGTTGGTCGTGTTGCCGTAGTAGGAGGGGCGATCGGGCAGCTTGGGCGGGGCATTCATGCCCGGCCGACTGTGAATAGAGAACAAGCATTAATTAGACAAACGAACATAATTGGATATAAATATAAATGCAAAACAAATGCTGAATGTACAACTAAAGAGTCTAGAGAGAGAGAGAGAGAGAGAGAGAGAGAGAGAGCAAAAATAGCTTAAGAGAGAGTTAAATATAGTTAGATAGTCAAGAGTCAACTCACCGGCAGGACAGCAAACTTATGTTAATTCATGGACGCTCTTTAAGAGCATGGCCAAAGCGTTACCAACACCAGTTAACAACAACAACAACAACAACAAAAGAAATGTTAGCAAAACAAGACAACGTAAGAGACAGGATGTGGCAAAGAGTTAGAGAGAGAGAGAGAGAGAGAAAGAGAGAGAGCGAACAGTCTGTTAACTCTCTACTTTGCAGCAACACTTGCAGGGCAAAATATGGCAGAGCATGATGATTAACAGCAGGCTCTGTTTATGTGTGCTCGCTGTTAACTAAAACTCCAATTGGATGTGCAATGCAGTAGCTGAACACAGGCAGCAGCCTGATTGCTCTCTTCAAATTAGTTTCCATTCCAGCTGGACTTCTGTTGTAATTGGCATCTAATGCTGGCTAAATGCTTAACAGTACTCATGCAAGCGCGCCGTTAACAGTGCTGTTAGCGAGTGTCAACCAATTAGATTCGCTTACATGATAGTTGAATTGAATGTTAATGCAGCGAAATGGTTAACAGCAGCTCAAGACTGGTCACTGTTAGCTAACAGCGCACGCATTGCTGTGCAGGTGAGATGTTATTTAACAGAAACTAGAAGCTGTTTACAGTAAAACAAAAACAATCAAGCGCGTTCTTTTCTTTTTAAATATTTCTTTATATATATATATATATATATGTGTGTATATATATATATATACTTTGTTTTTATTAATAACATTGTAGTTACCCCTCGTCTCACATATTCCATTCTTATTTACGGCCTTCTTTCATATATGTATATATAAGTATGTATGTAATTGTGACATGCGCTTGGCATATTAACTTAATACTTTTTCTCATTTTATTAATTATTAATTTTCATTAACTTTCAATTCAATAAACAGCAATTGATAGTGGCTACACATATGGTTGGGCTGTTCAAGAAGTTCTGGGGTACATAATAAATATATGTAGGTTATTCTTTATATATGTATGTGAGGTGTGTGTGTGTGTGTGTGTGTGTACTTTACTTAAACAAACACATATTCGGAGCTAAATACATTTATGTATTGATATCCATATTCATATAACTCGAGATGGAAATATGGTTAATTAAATAGTTGCAATCGATTTGTTATCGATTAAATTATCGGTTATCTGTGGTTTGTTTCGTTTTAACTGTTAGTTACGCGTATGCTCGATAATTATGCTATCGATTAATCGATTACTGCTGCGCATAACGCTTATATGTATTCTCATAGATATATATCAATATATAGAACATACACATATAATAAATATACACAAACACACGAATCTGAGCGCATTTGTGATACATGAAAACAAAACAAAAATCGATATTTTCTTTACAATTATCGATATCTGCACATTGCATGCGCTTACTTTCTCTGTGCATAAGCTACAATAACAACGGGGCAAAATATGAAAGAAAATAAACATTTTTAATATTTCATCTGAATACAACAAAAATATTTCCGATTTGTTTGTTTCGATAATTTCGATAACATCAAAAGCTAAATACTGTTCTTTTTGCTAGACATAAAAGCTATGCTGTGCATGTTAGCTAACAGCTGTTAAGCGTAGCAGTGAGCTGTTAAGTGTAGCACTGAGCTCGACTTAACAGCTGTTAAGTGAAATGTACAGTTAAGTGTAGAAATTGAATATATCTCTTGAATTGCTTCTCTCTTTTTGGTTTTTTTTTTTAATAAACAAACTAAGTAATTCATGTTGTTTTCTTTTCTGCTACATTTGTTTTTTAGTTTTTTTTTTTTTGTGCTTAGTTTAATATACATTTACATACATATGAATACACATACATACGTGTAATAGTTGTCATAAATGTTTTATTTATATATCGTATAATTTATTTAACCTTCACTAACTCTAATTCTGCCTCTCTTTCGCTATATATATATATATATGTATGTATATACCCTTTATCTCTGTCGAATCAGATACAAATACATATACATACATACATACACATATATATATATATATATATATATAGTATAAGTTGGCATTGAGAACTACACAAAAACACAATTAGCAACAATTACAAATCTGCATTCAAGCAATCTAAATGAAAGAGAGAGACAGACATATACATATATATATGTATATTCAAGGTTAGATGGAAAGAGAGGGGGATTTAATTTCGCATTGTGCATTGTTAGCATCGTAAAATGTAATTAACAACTTGTAGTTCGATTTAGATCTAAGAGATTCCCGTTTAATATATATATTTTAATTTGTATATATATTTATATATGTATACATAATTTATCGAAAGCAACACATGTAAGTGTTAGTTGTATGCATGTGTGCGTGTGTGTGTGTGTGTGTGTGTGTTATCGAACTGCAAAACTATCGCCGACTAATATGAAAATATTGGAGTTTATAAATCGATATCGATTGTTGAAACGTAGTGGCATGTTATCGATAGTTTTTGCCAGCTCTAGCGTGCAACGGAATGTTTCGAAATGCAAATGCAAGTTAGTAAAAACTTAAAAACTGATTGAGCACATTTCTCACTGTTAACCAATTCGAACAAAATAAGAGAATAGAAAAAAAAACACAATAAAACATAAAGCGGAAAAGAAACACAAATGTTAACTTTTGATAAGAGATAAAATTTAGTTTCGACATACACACACAGGACACATAAAAGAGAATTCAAATGCACAACATAAATAACATAACAATCATGAGTGGGCATATATTTTGCAATGGTAAGAGTAGGCGCTGACGCAGACGCAGAGCATCCGCTCTCTTGTAAATGTGCTTTTGTGTGCGCGCGCGCCCGCTCTTTTTTTTGTTGCTCTTTCTTTTTATTTGCTGTTGCGCTTGAAAGCTAGCACGCTGGCTGGCTCTCTTGCTCTCTTGCTTCGTTTGCAATGCTGGTGAGTTTCTTTACTTGAACCGTGTGGCAAAGACATTGGAGAGTTCATTCATGGCCGCCTGGCCCACAGCCTGATTCACTTGTCCGCGCATGCTCTCCGGGATGTAGCGATTGGCGCCCGATTGCTGTGTCAAGGCGCCGCCGACAGCTCCAGTGACGCGACTTGAAAGTTGTAAAAGGATTTTGTACTCTTGTTGTTTCTTTCTTGGTTACTTTTTTTTTTTTTGTTTTGTTTTGTTTTTGGACTTTGTTCATTCGGGATATTTTCTTTTTATTTTTTTTTTTTTTGTTGTTGTTTGCCTTGTTTTGCAAGAGAACAAATACTAAACTAAAGAGGCGCTGGGCTATGTGATCAAACAGTTATCGGAACGCTTGAAACCCCTTTTTATCGATTTGTTTGTTTCGCTGCTTCTGGCTCTGTGGTGTGTGTGTGTGTGTGTGTGTGTGTTTGTGTGTGTGTATTTTTTTTTTAATTTTAGTTACAAATCATAAAAAATTCATATTTAATAAGAAAAAAATTGAAAAGACAAAGCAACAAAACAAACTAATTAATTTACTGAGTTTTCATAAAAAACAACAAAGCAAATGTTAATAATAATTACATACATACACACATGTGTTGTTAACATAAGCTGTAGGCGCACACACATACACACACAAAAGCAAAAAAGCTGCATTAAATGAGTTTAAGCAAACAATAACAAAAACAAACAAAAAAAAAAGCGTTAAACGAGTTATTTAACACTAAACAGCCGCGTTTGCCAACACTGTTTGCACCGAACATTGGCCGATCGCCGCGAGCACAGCAAAAGAGAAAAAACACGCCAACTGAGCGCGCGCAAAAGTATAAGACTTAAGAGAGACGCCGCAACAAACGGGACTTGGCCAAAGGCTGTCAAAATGGCTGTGAGGGAAGAGAACTGGAAGCAGCGCTTCGACTGGGCACAGTGCCAGCCAAAAATATTCGAACATGTCTGTCAGTCTGTTAATACAATATAGGTGTATATTTGTATATGTAGTTTGTATATTAAATGAAATGTGTGTGCGCATATACTTTCAATTTAATTAAACTATGTATTTATTTATTCATTTATTTGACTTTTGCTTTTATTTTCGCACACTGAACAATTAATTTGCAACTTTTTTTTTTGCCCATTAAATATTTATAATATCGTGTATGATTTTGTGGAATTTTGCAGCTGTGTTCTTGTCCCGTTAATGAGTAGCTCATATATATATATATGTATATATATATACATATACATATGTATATAATGTGTATGTGTATATTTTTTTTCAATTTCTCTTTTTTTAAGCTTTAGTTATATTTAACGACAACAACAACAACACAAAAAGGTACTTTAGTTAACTTAAGCATTTATGTATGTATATCTCATCATTATATTCATTTTCTCTTCATAACGTATATTCAATATGTATGTATATATGTGTATGCATTTTTGCTCTCCCAACAACAGAAAAGTCCACAGCTCAGGCTCAGCATCGGCGCGTCCGCTCTCTAGGATATTTGTAATTATTCTCTTTACTTTGCGAAACTAACAAAGCTAAAGAGCGTTTACAGTTCTGATATATTCCTCTCTCAGCTGCTGACATATGTGTGTATATATATATATATATGTATGTATGTAATACTGTGTGCTTTTTTCCAATTTAAACTGCATACATATATATATTATATTATATTATAAATTATAAACGAACGCATCGGATATTGTATGTATATACGGGTAGATGGATTTTTTTTTATATATTTATATATATTTTCTTTAAATATTTAACGTTCTTTGCATAGTTCTAGTCGACATCGTTGTTGCTGTAAGTAGTTGTTGTTGCTTTTCACTGAGCGAGCTTTTGCTTGGGTGACGGCAGCCGCCCCCCCCTTTTATGCTAAGAGAGCGCGAGCGCGAGCGAGAGCGAGAGCACACGAGCCTGCACTTAAGGGTTTCGGTTCAATTGGCTAATCGGATCGGATCGGAACGGATCGATTGGTTGAGTTGAGTTGTTCGGTTTGTTGGTTGATTTAAGCGAAAGCATTTTGGTTAGTTAATTTTTGTAAGAGAGCGAGAGAGAGTGTGGAGTTAGAGAGAGTAAATGCCTTGTGGCTGTGGCTGACAACTTAGCGACGTCTGCAGCGTTGGATTTACAGTTAGCGTTGTAAGCGGCGTTCGATATGTGTGCGTGTGCGTGTGCATGTGTGTGTGCGTGTGTGCGTTAGTATTAACAGTTTTACGTTTGACATTGTTTGTTGTTTATCGCATTTGAGAAAAAGAGAGAAAAAAGAGAGGAAGAAACAAACGATTTTGTTTTGTTATATTTTGTTGAGTTTGTCTTTTTTCTTATATATTTTTTTTTTTACAAATACTTTCTAAACTGAGGGTCACCACAAACAAAAACAACGAAACCAACAAAACAAAAATAAACAAAAAACAAAAAAAAAATAGAAACGATTTTAAATGCCAATTCTGGCAGCTTGCCCCTTTCCCAAAATAAGCCCAAATCATAGACAAAGAGATATATACAAACAAACTTAAATATATGTATATATACATAATTGACTCGGCGGGTTATGCTAATTTACGTTTGTGTATGCAAATTTCACGATGAGCTCATAATGATTCTCAGTTTGAGTACAGACTATCTGCTAAAAGAAAACTCTTACACGAGAAACGACAAAAAATAAAAAATACTCACAAAATAACAGTTATCTTCGGGCTGCCGAAGCTAAAATACCCTTGCAGACAGATGAAATTAGGGAAATTATGAGCACCGCTTCATGTGTGAGAAATATCCCAAATTTTGTACTTTATGTATGTATGCAACGGAACACTGGTACAAATATCCCTAATTTGGTACTTTTGATATGCATACCTAAATACTGGTACTTTATGTATGCAACAAATATTTGGTACTTTTGATATGAACGGAATACGGGTTCCCTCTTCAACTGGTACTTTTTTATCTTAAAAATATCCTCAGCAAGGCATGTTATAAACATATGTGATATGGTCACAAATCTAAGTACTTGAAGCAGCTCGCAATTAATTTTCATTGTACATAAACAAAATTTCCCATTATTCTTAGGACAGCTGTGTGATATATGGGCAATTGATGTGATAGACATCGAAATAAGGCATAACATTACAATAAAGATCTCGCATGGGTATTATAGCTATCAGAAACATACAAATTAGAATTGAAAATTTCCCTCTTTAAAATAACCTGGCAAAAATTGGTACATTTAAAGTATAACTATTTTGATTACTGGGAACTTTCTGTAAATTAGGAACGCTTGAAACTGGGAATTTTGCTTAAGACTCAAACTATTTTCGTAAGACCCGCTGCATCACAAAAAAGGCTGATGACAAAATACAACACACGAAATGGAGAAGGAAGGAACAGAAAACAAAATAAAAGGTTAATCTTTACAAATGAAAGGGTTTGTATAATAATTTCAAGCACTTGCGCTTGTAACAAATATTGTGTACAGAGTTGTGAGCAAGCACATAAGCCATATATATATAGAGATCTGCCAGATGCAGAGTATATACTATATATATATAGCTATGTGCATGCTTGTAGGCGTGTGTGTGTGTGTGTGTGTGTGTGTGTGTAGTGTGTATAAAAAGAGGTCCCAATCGTCGATAATTCAAATAAGAATATAAATAATCAAATTAAATCAAACGAAAAGAAATACTGGAGAGTAGACAATATATATATATGTATATATGTATATACTATAGCTAAACTGTACAGAGGCGCGCACAAGGGGTACAATACAACAGCCGAGTCGAAAGCGAATACAAGAATAATACATTGGGGGTCTACTTACGAGGGTAGCAACGGGGGTGGCAGAGCTCCGCCTGGCCGACCGCCGGGCAGCGGAGGTGCACCGCCGCCGGGGCGGCTCGGTATGGCCGGCGCGGGACGTCCAGTTGCCGGGGGCAATGGCGGATTGCGGCCGCCCAACGAGCCCTGCACAAAAACAAATGAACATGAATATAACTGAAATTGATTGCTATTGCTGTCGGCGGCTTACCTGTGCGGTGGGTGCTGGCTTGCGCGGGCCGCCGGGACTGGGCGGCGATAGACCCGGATTCTCCAGGCCGCTTGGTAGCCAATCGTTCTTAACGGGCGGCGGCAAGGGTGAGGATACAGTTGCCACCGAAACGTCACCTGTTGTGCGTTTAGATTCGTTTTTAGTTAAGGTTTTAAAGTTCGAAAGCTTCGCTTACCAATTATCTGCAGGGCATCCTTGCAGGCGCGATACATGCGCAGCATTTCCTCGCGCCGTGTTGCCGACTCGGCGGATTCCTCCATCATTTGTGCCTGGCAAGACAAGATACAGATTAGAGTTTGATTATAAAAATCATTCGCAACTGACTGACTGACTGATTGACTGACTGATTGACTGATTGACAGACTAACTAACTGACTGATTGACAGACTGATTTACTAACTGGTTGACAGACTGACTGACGGACTAACTGAATGACTATCTGCTTGATTGACAGACCGAATGTCTGATTGACTGACCAACCTACTGATTGACCGACATTGACTGATTGACCGACTGACCGAGATTGACTGACTGAATGATCGATTGGATGGCGACTGACTAACTAACTGATTATTTGATTGATTAATTGACTGACTGAATGATTGACTAACTGATTGACTAACTTATTGACTACTGATTGACTGACTAACTGATTGATTGAATGACTGACTTACTGATTAACTGACTGACCGACATTGATTGACTGACTTACTGATTGATTCACTAATTGACTTACTGACTGATTGACTGGCTGGCTGATTGATTGACTGACCGGCTGATTGATTTGAACTGTAACTAATTAAGGACGTGTTATACTAATTCTGTGTTATACTCTTATCCCAAAGTTAGAAATTGGTGAAGTTGGTTAAGAAATACATTGCAGGGTTTATTTTGCTAGCAAATTGATGTATGTACCTGATCACCGGAGGCATAGAGATGGGCCAACAGTTCGCCGTTGATAAAGTCCTTGGCATTGTTGATGATCAGCATCATAATGGCCTTCGGGACCATATCCCGTGTGGTCTTCGTGACGATCTTCATGTACGAGTCGACTAGATTGCGAATGGTCTCCACCTGCCGTTCCAATTGTGGATCCGTAGAGCTCTCCTCGTTGGCCGACTGTTGTTGTAGTTGTTGGTGTTTGCATTTTAGCGTTTGTTATCGATTATCGATAAACGATATTCAATTTGTTCATGGATTTCAAACATGGGTGTTTTTTTTTTCATATTTAGAATTGTTCGTTTTGATTGATTGGTTCGTATAGAAGGGTGGGGGGGGCCAAAGTAATTGGAAAAAAAAACAACGAAGAAACAATCAATTAAATGAAAAAACGTGTATGAAGTTTGTACAATCGAAAAGAAACGCCAAAAAGTGCAGCCGCAAAAAAGTAAAGCATTAGGATCACAAATTTCAGAAATATATAATACATATTTCACTTTTTCTCTATTATAATAGATTTTACTTTTATTGTTTAGTCTCTTTTTCGTGTTAGTTGAATTTGCATTAAACTAAGAAAGTGCTTTTCATATTTGAAATGTCAACAACAATAACAACAAGAATTAAATCATAAACATGTTAGCCAACTTTACGATAGACTTTATGGTATTCCTTCTGCTTTTTTAAGCCATCAAATGGTTTAGTTTTAGTTTAGAAACAAATCAAACGCCAATTTATAACAAATAAATACCATAATTAATTGCTACAAATATTGTTTTAAATAGGCAATATATTTTTGCTGCTGTGTCGGGTGCATAAAGTGTTTCATATTTCCAATTTCTAATAGAATGCTTGGGACCTTGGGAATTGTAAGAGCTTAAGGCAAATGAACTAGTTCATTGAGCTGCATTTAAGGTTAGGTTAAATGGGCAGAATTGAAGTTATGGTAAGTTGGGATTGCCAAGTGTTCAATAAGAATCGAGATCAGATCTCAATTTGGTGTTCAAAATGAGTTTTAAGAGTTTAAGGCAAATGAACTAGTTCATTGAGCTGCCTTAGTTTACAGATTAGTTGTAGTAGGCGATGTATTTACTCGTGTTGAATGCATCTACATTTTTATATTTACAATTAAATTACAATTAAATAGAATGTTTGGGACTGGGAGCCTGTAGGAGCTAAAACAGAATGAACTAGTTCATTTGGATGCACATTAGATGGATAGTTTAGATAGGTAGGAACATTTTCGTTATCCAATTAGAGCTATGGTATGCTGGAATGTGTTTAACAAGAATCGAGATCGGATCTCAGGCACGCTCAAGAAATTTGAGCTCTAAAGGCAAATGAACTGGTTCATTAAGCTGCACATTCTGTTAGGTGAGGTAGATCGGAACTAGTTAGATGAGTAGGAAATTTGACATTTTCCAATGGGAGGTGGAGTTCCAAGTTCCATAAAAATCGAGATCAGAGCTTAATCTCTCTAAAGAAACTGTGTGACAGCCCTGTCTATATTCAAGGTGAGGTTAGGTGCGATCTATTGCGTTATCCAATTGGAATCATATTGAAGGGAAATTCAAATATTTGCAATTAATATTGTGAACAGAGAAATATTGAATGCGTGAATGTGTGGGTGTACTGTACTCAGGAGCTGGAATCGTTATCGATAGTCCAGAGCGTGACTTATCGATTATTTATCGAACTCGAAACTTGGTTGGGGGAAATGTAGAAAAAACGAAAAATGTTGTAGAAAGCGTTTAGAAATTGGAAAAAATAAGCGATAACAACTTAAACTATGCTAATTACAAATACTCAAATAGGTTTTACTTCGAAAATGTGTGTGTTAAAGGTTATCGAAAAATCAAATACAATACGAATGCAAATCAAATAAGAATAACAAGAAAATGTTCAAGAAAAGATTTGTACGGAAAAAATGAACCTACTTTTTGCTGTTAACGGTTGCATATAGATATATATACGCATTACAATTGGTATTATCATATACATATATATTATATATACATATATATGTGTGTGTGTGTGTGTGTGTGTGTTGGTCATTTCGTTTGGTACGTGGACGGGAAAATAGAAGAAAATAATTGATAAAAAATATTGTAAAATTAAAATATATATCATTTATGCATAGATATATATATTTATACATATATATATTTAAGATGTATGGAATGCTGAGCTAGATATACATATATACTTGTTGCACACACCACAGTATTAGGGGAAATTTGTTAATGTTATGCCAAAAACAGAAAACGGAAAGCTGTAAGAGTTTTTAGTCCCAAATTCTAAGAACCAGATTTTTTTACGGCCCAAATTTATGTTAATTAGTGTAAGCCAAATGCCGGAATATTTTATGAAGTTTAGTTTCAATTTTTGAGCCCCAATTTGAACAATTAATTTGGTAAAAATTAAATGAAATTAATAAAGTTGTTAAACAAAAAATCAAAATAAAATTAACAAAGTCTAATAGAGGATAGAGACAGACAGAGACAGAGAGAGAGAGATATATATAGAGAGAGAGCGAGCGAGAGCGAGCGCAGAAAGTATGCAAAGTATATGCTAAAAATGATGAAAAGAAACAAACCTCTTGTCCTTCCTGCATATACCACACATTTTTATACGCATTTATATATATTTCAAATATATACGTGTTTGTATTTGTATTATTTTTGGGGTCGCAACGTTTAAAAGATATATATATATAAATAAAGAAACATTGAATGAGTTATTGCGTTATCAAAGAATTAGTTCTTAAGATCTAAGAGCGTATCCTAGAGTTTTATTTGTTATACCAAGTACACATTCAGCACATGATACACGACGTGTGTGTGTGTGTGCGCGTGCGTGTTAGTTAGTCATGTACACACACACACACATAGAAACAAACTACACACAGATTACGAACAGCTGCTGTTAAGAATTACATTGGCAGAAGAGAAGTTCAGCCGAGAGTCATGTAACTCGATCATGTTAGTGCCTAGTTTAGGTGAAGTTTTTAATGTTAACAGTATGTGAAGCAGCTGTTAAGTTAACATTAGGTCAAGTAACTCGATCATGTTATTGTCCAAGTGAAGTTTTCTATGTTAAGTTAACATGAGGTCCAACGTCTGAGAGTTTAAGATAAGATTTTTATGTTAACAGTATGTTAAGCAACTGTAATACATTATGTTGTTGCAAAGGACACACTGTAAAGTTAACAGCAGACCAACAAGTAACTCGAACACGTTCTTGTCTAGGCAAAGATTTCTATGTTTACAGTATGTTAAACAGCTGTAATCCATTGAGTTGTTGCGCTGTTAAGCTTACAAGTTAAATAGCTGTAAGCACAAATATATTAATTAACAGCTGTTAGAGTAAAAGCAATGCTAAGAAGCAATCAAGTAAAGTACGAACTGTTAACAGCCAGAATTAAACATATGCTAAACAACAGCCATATAATTTACAGTCAAATTCTGTGTTAACATTTGTTGTTTAAATATTTCAACGATTATCCAACTGATCGAGTCTGACTTCGCCGCATAGGCTAAATATATAAAGAGGTGAAAGGGGGATTATGAAAAACATTCGGAATGCTGGCATTGCGACGCTTACAGAGAATAGAGTGTAGTTGGGATTAATGTCATGACAAGGCAAGATGTATGTTAATTGACATTTGTGTTGGCGCTCTTATCTAATCGGAGTAGAAGAAAATATCACATAGACATACATACATACGACAAGACTTAGGCGCTAGGCTAGACCAGCTTTAGAACCTAACTAAATTATGATTGTATTCTTTTCATTTTTTTTTTTTTTGTTTTGTTTTTTGTTTTAGCAATTCTTTAAGACTACGTAAATTGGTACGCACCTCGTCGCCATTCTCCTGGGTCTCTTGCTTCTCGGGATAGACGCCGGCGCGCAGGAATGATGCCTTCCACGATTCCACATCCTCGACCGTCTCGCAGGACAGCTCCAGTTGTTTGTAATCCTAAATGCACAACATGTATATTTGTGTGTGTGTGTCGTATGTGTGTGTGTGTGTGTGGTGTGTGTGCAGGAGAAAGAGAAGCGTCCAAGCGCAAAGAGAACAAATGGATAGGTATTTTCGTCAAGCATTTGGTATATGGGGACAACGTATTACGATAACGATTACGATTACGATAACGATTACGATTACGATAACGGTTACGATTACGAGTACTTGGACGGGTGGTGGCATTGGTTGGTTCGGTATTTTGTTGGGTTTTGATAGCTTTGCTAGATATTGGCTGAGTTGTCAAGTGGTTCGCAGCTGGCGCATGTCTTGGACCAGAGTTTAGTTAGTGTTTTGTATCGGTGGCATATTGGTTTATCGGTTTATCGGTATATCGATTGTCTATATATTTAGATATATGTATATATTTTCTATTGCAGCAAATGCCAGTTATTGGTTTTCGTTTTTTTCATGTCATGCTCACAAATCGAAGGCAAAGAAAAAAAAAACCGACTACATTAAAGTCGTTTTTTTTTTTTGTTTGGCTTCGATTTGACACAAATGTTGATAAAAAACATAGTAATTTTTATCTTATACAAAAAAATTAATTAATTGTTCGTTGTGTGGAACTAGTTTTTTTTTTTTTTTTTCTTTTTGGAACTAGTTTCAACGCAAGAGAATCAAATTGTGGAGGGCAACTTGAACGCAAAAATTGTTCGAACAAAAGAAACAAAATATATATATGAATTCTTATTCGTTTTTTTTTTTCTGTTTTTGTTGTTAATATTGAATGTAATATTTTGGTTGGAAGCACAATAAATAATATTCTAATAAAAATATTTGAATATTATTTGTTGTGCTTGCAAATGTTTTCTTTCTTTTTTTTCTTCTTCATCTACTGGAGATGTTTTTTCATTGGGTTTTTTTTTGTTGTTGTTTTTTTTTTTTCTTTTTGTACTTTGTTTCGGAATTCATTTTTTTGTATGCTAACAAAAATTACTAACCTTATAAACATTACGTCCGTCGGGACTGAATAAAGCAAATGTAACACGTCTAGACATTGACATAAAGCCCTGTTCAATATCGCGCAATTTCAAACCATCCAACGGCAACATGAATTTCTTCTCCTTCTCATCCTCGTCCTTGTACCAGGAGATGCTCTCCGATGTTAGCACAAACCAATAAGGACGCGAGCCGCCTGCAAAACGAGAGACCAGAAGGTACAGAAAACAAAAATCATATAAATATAATATAGAATATATAAAGAAAAAAAAAACAAAATCCAATTTGTTGCTAACAATTTCGACAATGGTACAACATAAAAAGAAAAAGCAAGAAATACTCTTCAATTACGCAAAGACTACAAAGATATATATATATAGAGTTAGAGTTAAAGATATTGATATGGATTTTATATATATATATAGAGAGAGAGAGAGAGAGTGTGTGTAAATGTGTGCGGGGGAATGCGATGTGGACGGACGGGGAGTACGGGAAATACAGGATTAAGGGCATCATTTGAACCAAACTCGAAATCGACTGGTTCCGTTTTCGGTTTCGGTTCCGTTTTCGGTTCCGGTTCAAGCATTGCCGAGCAAGTACAGCACATTAATGTAGTTTGTTTTTGTTCTCGTTGTTTTGTAAATAGAATAAATCATAAGTATATACATATATATATATAATTAAAGATCGTTGAATACAAACCAAGTATGCGTGGCAAAAACCTCAGCAAAGCTTTCAATTTCCCACAAGTTACGTGACAAATGTCAAGAAATATAAAAGTACAGTACCGAAAAGAAAAACACCAAGAAATGTTCAAAATAGAAAAACCAAAAAGAAAACAACAACAAAGCAATAGAAAGCAAACGACGAAACAGCAAAGAAACAAACACAAAAATAGACAAAATTTAAAAAAAAAATAAATAAAATACAATAACTCAACATTGTCAAACTACGAAATAATGCCTAAAAGCTGCTCGCGAATTGAATAATCGCGTCTGCAAAGACTCGAGACGGTAATTAAAAGGTTCAGCACATTTCCATGCCAGCAGCGAGTCTTATTGGGGAAATTTTCTCTGGGGAAATTCTCTTCCGTTAGATCGTTAGATATGACACAAGTATTATGCCCATCGATTGTTGGGCAATTTTTCTTTTCGATAAGTCGATAAACTTCTGACACACTTCTTCTGCCTATCGATTTATCGTAAATACAGCTTCAAGCCCTACTTCTACATTTGACTAACGAGAACTAGTTAATACAATAGCTACAGCAATTGTTATAGAGATAAATATATCGATTAAAGAACCAAACACGAATTTACTCAATGATAATTCGGTGAACGCTTTCAAATTAGAACATTTCCTGCCCAGAGTCTAATTTCTAATGTTTTACAAGTTTATATAAATTTAATAAACTCTTTAGTTTCAATTTTCGAGCAAATATCGTTTTAGCGAGAGTTGAACTTTAATAGATTTAAAGATTTAAATATCGTAATATATATATTTAATATAGAAATATATTAAAGTTCAACTCTTCAACTCTAGTAAATACTTAATACAAATAAATAAATAAATTTAAAGATAACTACAAGGGAAATAACTGAGCTGCCAGATAATTACAATTAACTAAAGTGATTAATTTAGTTAGAGATTGGAGATAGGAATTAATCTTCATGATATTTTTAAGTAATTAATTGACAATTTGTAATTACCAAAGGTAATTAAAAAGGTAATTATTATAGAAAGTTTTGATCTTCTTCATAATATTGCCCTTTGGGATATTTCTTAGAAAACCCCTTTCTGATTACATAAGCACTTTTTGTTGTAAGTACTTTTTGTAATTTCCCTAAAATAACCCTCAGTAAGCTTGGCAAAGGTAATTTTATAATGGGAATTTAGGTTCTACATAATTTCCCCTTTCACAATATGCATAAGTGTGAAACATATATAAGGATATTTACTACAGTATTACGATGATAATACATACAACTATAAATAATAATGATATAGTAGTATCGGGTGGTAGGTTGGAAGGTTAGAATGTTGTTTTTTTGATAGTTGGACAGTTGTTGCGGCAGCGTTAATTGTGTGTGTATGTGTGTGTGTGTGTGTGTGACGTACCTTTCATGATGCCCAGATTCTGTATAACCATATGACCCTTGCGTATGACCTGGTTGCCCAGCTGTCGGGTGCCGGTCTTATTTGCATTCTCCGATTTATTCTGAGCGCTACAAAAATAAATTTAAAAAAAAAAAACAAATATAAAAGTAAATACAATAAAGGCATAGTTCACGAAATGGAAGGGAAACGTGATGCTTGTTGTTGCGTGTGGTCAGACATACTTGGCAAAGCCAATGAAATCCTCGTGATTGGTATTCATGTAGGCTAGCTCAAAGTCGATGAGCAAAAGGATTTGCTCCTTGCAGCGCTGCTCGCGCTGGCGCACATGCGTGGTAATGATGCGTTCCGTTTCCTCGCGCAGACGCGGATAGCGATTCATCTGCCAGAGGAGACAAAGAGAATTGTGCTCAATTTGTGTATCAGATCTCGTTGCTCGGTGACTCTCACCTTATCTGTGCACATGCGCACAACCACGGACAATTCCTGTACGACTAGATCCACGCACTTGATGACGGGCTCCTTGAGCAAAGCTATCTGACGCTTGACAATCGCCTCGAAGGCCATGTCCGGCGTGAAGAGGCCCACGCGTATGCCGTGTATGTTGCGTATGGCAAACGAGATCTCGCGGCGCAGCTCCTTCTCATCGCAGGCCATCTTCACGATCTCAAAGCGAAGCCTGTCAAATGAGGGACAATGAATTAAAAGTGGAGCAGGCAGATTTACGCACAGGCTTACCGCTCGTGGAATATGCGATTGATCTTGGCACCGCCGGACAGTTCGTTTGTGTTGACCAGAGCGGAACCGCTGCCCTCGATGGTGCGCTCAAAGTCCGACTGCAGCTGCTGGATCATTCTGTAAAAGACGTGCATATTGTTAGCTCCTGATCTTGGCCAAGTTTGAGGGGCGGGGTAGGGGGGATTGCACTTACTGCAGCATGGCCTTTGTCTTGATGCTGGCATCGCCCGGCTGGAAATGTTTGAACTCCTCGACCTCCTTCTCCAGTGTTAGCATCTGCTTTTGCAGTTTGTCGCGCAAGCCGGGCAATGTGTCCCGGATGTGATTGGTCAGCTGTTGATTGAGGACACGCTGCAAATAGGGTGTGCCCAAACGATCGGCCATATGCCGATACGAGGGATGGCTGAGGAAGAACTTGCGCTCGGCGGCCAATGCCTGATGTATATCCTTGCGCCCCTCGATATCCTTTTGGGAACGATTGACAACGCCAATATAGCCGCGTCGCAGCGGCAACAGCTTGTTCTCGAGTATGTCACGGGCATCGGTGCCCTCGTCCATGAGATCCAGCTTGGTGATGACACCGATCGTGCGTACGCCCTGGGGATCCACCTCTTTGGCCAGCTTGAGTGCGTCCGAATTGGCCAGATCGGTATTGGCCGGCGTTACGGCCAATATCAGACAGGTCTCCTTGCGTATAAATTGGAATATCATTTGCTTAATCTGCTGCTCAATGTCCACCGGCTGATCACCGATCGCCACCTTGGTCAGGCCGGGCAAATCGATCAGCGTCAAGTTGAGCACGTACGGCGAATAGACGCGCAAATTAATCGGAATGTTTGAGATGCCCTTGTTGCTGCCCGTTACACGATCTGTCTCGTCCTCGATCTCCTTGCGTATCTCGTCGAAGCTCGAGAACTTCTTCCCCTTGCAATGCAGAAATTCCCCATATTCTGCAAAACAAAATCCCAGTTATTAATATCGTTGATCGTTTATCGTTTATCGTATATCGTATACGATATGCTACTTACCGGTAATGCCGTTGATCAGCTGCAAAATCAAAGGCCTGCGCGTCACAATGCCCGAACCTCGAGGCAGAAAGTCTCTGTGGGTTTCAGATCACAAAATGGAAAACAAAAATATATTGTAATTATTCATATTTCATGTTTTGTGTGGGTTTGCGGTAGTTGCAATTACTCAAAATATTTGTTTTTTTTCTTCTTCTTCTTCTTATTTTTATTAATCATGATGTTTAATTATTCGTCTATGTGTTGCAGCTGTTCGTTGTGTTTGCAAGTGAACAATTGATTTGATTTTATCGATTGTGATAAGTTTGTTTTACAAGTAGTTAACAATTTTTTTTAGCAAGCTCCTCAAATACAGTAGTCGCTCGGCGAGAAACACAAATTGTACAACGATTATTTAATTTACTGTTATTCTTTATACATAAATGTATATATTTTTGCTAATTAAAGAACATTCTGAAAGTGACTCGTTTTCGCATACGAGTGCTCACTGTATTTGCAGCGGCATCGCTTAAGAGACTCAAATAGTGAAGAGAAATTTCCCAGATCTATTAAATTACCCAAGCGAAAATGTAAGAAAGGGAAGGCAACAGGAAAAACTAAGTTTTGATAGCACTTGAAAGAGAGCCGGAGAGTAAAAGAGAATCAGGTTTGAAACTCTTCCAGGCTAGCTTAACAAATTGCCCAAAATAAAAGAAAGGTGCACAAATCCACCAAACGAAGGACATTTCGAGAGTTAACGAAACCCTTGGAATTGCCCCAACTTATAGAAAAGGGGTGGGGGGGCTCGCTCAACATAATTTCCCTCAAGGGAACAAACGAAACACAAACGATATTAATAGCCATGAGCTATCACTTTCCAATGTTCCAGTTAGCTCGTCGTTAAACCCAACTCAATTATGAACAACAACACGAGAGCAACAGCAAAAATTAGTCACAGGTGTTGTTGATGGCACAATTATCGGGCCACTCAATTGTTCTCAATTGCTTTGATTGGCTTGTGATATTTTTGTTATTATTACAATATATTTACAAAAAAATATATATAGAAATGTTTTTAATTTGTGGGAAGAGTCATTAAAACCGGGCAACAACGTGCAACATGTGCGATTAATTGACTGGGAAATACGCTTCCAGCGAATAAAGAGTACACACAAGTTCATATATATGTAGATAGATGAGGAGAGGGGGGGGGGGGCTTATTATGGCTGTGGCTACACTTTTGACCTGTTTTATTATGGCAAACAAATCTAGCAAATTCAACAAAAGCCGCCGCAAATAAACAAGAACAAGAGCAGCAAAAATTCTTATCGATAATGCAAACAATATCAATTATAATCACAGAACATGAATCATCGATAGTTATTGTTCGGCTGCGGCGGCAAGGGTGCGGTCCCCCCCCCCTCCCTTCTTTTCTTTTCCCCCTAAAACTTTGATAAAAAAACAAACAAAAAAAACAAACACTATTAAATATGTGGAAATCATTTTGAAAGCGAGTGCAAAAGAAGTGGTGTGGGTGTGTCGGGGGGATTAAACCGTTATCTTATCGCTGCAATACATGTGTGTGTACATAAATTTCAAATAAATGCCCATATGTACAGACAGCATTAAAATTACGCACACACGAACGCTAACAGATTTATTCATGTGTACATAAAATGCAATGTTATCAATTACTTCTGATGAGTAACTCTCTTGCATGCGCTTGTGTGCGTACGTGTGTGTGTGTCTAATGTGATTGCATGGGAAATAATTGTAATTGTGCACTTGTGTGAGTAAGTTGTGAACAGCAGCTTTTTCCTAAATAAATTACTCCACAACAACAACGACAACACCAACAACAATGTGACTCAAAAGTGCTCATGAAATTTTTGATTTTATTACTGTTAGCTGCTCGCAATTAGCAGAGTTCAAAAAGCGTTCAGTTTAAACTGTAAAATAGCCAGCAGCTGTAGTTTAATACGCACACACATATGCGTGAGTGCACCACGCCGGCTGCGTCAGCTGCAGAGAGAGAGAGGGAGAGAGAGAGAGAGAGAGAGCAAAAGCGAGTGGTGATCGCTCTCTGCTGCTGCTGCAAGCGCAAAAAAAATAAGCTCACAGACACAACCATGAGATCAGCTGCTGCGCATTCTTTGGCTCTCTTTGCTTTCGCTGTCGCTTTTTTTTTTTTTTTTTTTTTTTGTTTAGTGTTTGCAATTTTGATTTGTTGCGTTTTAACATTCTTCATTCTCTTCGTTTTTTTTCTACATTGATTTCAATTGAATTGTTTTTGCTGCTGCTTGGTTCAATAGGCTGTTGCCCTACCAATATCTTTGTTTTTGCAAAGTTCTCTTCTTTTTTTTTTTTTTTTTTTTTTTTTGTGCTATTATTTGCGAGCGCGTATGCGTCAGTCTCTATATTAAAATGTTTACATATATGCATATTATTAGTTTGTGTGCATATACATACATACATATGTATGTGTGTATGTATGTGGGCTGCGTTCCGCAATGCTCTTCATAAAAATATATCCCATTTAGCGATAATGTCAAGTAACCATTATGTGCACACATACACACCTTCCATGTGTGTATACATATGCATACATACATATATAAACATATAGATATTTAAGAGAGAGCGCCTGCCCTTAGCATCAACAGCAAGTGCCATGAACTATTGACATTTCGAACCGAGCTTTTGCGGCTGATGATGCTGCTTCTGTTGAGTTGACATTGAACACTCATCTCTCTCTCTCTCTCTCTTCCGCTCTCTCTCTCTCTCTCTCTCATTTAAAGTTAAAGCTCATGCTCAGTTTGACATGCACTCCATGCAGCATCATTAACTGACATTGATGAGAACAAAAAAAAAAAACTGCATCAGCATCGGTGGAAAATAAATAATAATAAAAAAAAAAAGTAGAAAAACTAGGTCATTAACACAGACACAGCATATATGTATATGCCTGTATATACATACATATACATGCTATATACATGCTATGTATAAGCATATATGTATACACATATAACACATATACATATGTATAGTGCATATGTGTGTGCGGCCGGCGCATGCGAAAAGTAATGGCTCAGCAAATGAACTGCGCTTGGCTAAGCTGCTGCTGCTTCTGTTGCTGCTTCTGTTGCTGTTACTGTTGCTGTTATTGTTGCTGTTATTGTTGTTGTTGTTGTTATTGACTGCACGCCAGCTTACATAAGAAAAACTACATGTCAAAATGTGTGTAAAAGGAAAGACTCTCTTAAATATGTATGTATGTGTGTACATACATACATATATATATATATATATATATATATATATATATATATATATGTGTGTTTGCAGCAAGGACATACACAAGCATAAATAGCAAAGCCCCATAACATGGGCAGACATGCCGTTACACCAACACAATGTGCTGCGCACGTGTATGTGTGTGTGTGTGTTTGTGCGTTATGCTGTTAGTAGGTGGAGCCAGCTACAAAAGGATTTTATCTACATATAACAGTAGCAGAGCATTATATAATTTTGCCATTCTGCATAGAACAAGCACCCACACACATACACATACTTGCATAGCTGTGTGTGTGTATGGGGTAAATGGCAGCGAGCGCGCGTTCCATTCATTAACAGTTACAAAAGTTACAGCAGTAGGCGGATTCGAATGTACATACATACATATGTATGTAAGTGGGAGTGGGGCAGAAGCAGCAACTACAAAAATGTAGGCTAGCGTTAGCGTCGACGTCGACAGCGACAGCATTGCATAAATGTCAAAGTGAAGTGTGGCATAGCGGAGCATACGAGCAGCGGGGGGTGGGGTTGTGTTGGGCACAGAAAGAACCGAGCGCACAAAAGAAAAGGAAACAAAAGCATGTGCGCTGCAAAAGGAAATGTCAGGCGTGCATTGATTTTTTTCTCTCTCTCTCTTCTTATTCTTTTACAGTTTGCCCATTGCCCGTTTTTTGGGGCGTAAGTATTTTGTGGGTTATATTGTTTTTTTGTCATCGAATTTTTCAGGGGGCGGGCGCAAACGCCAATAGATAAAAAAAAACGAACGAAGCGCAATGAGCGCCGCGCAGCCAGCGAAAAAGGCCCCCAAATAAAACCGTTTTACTGAGCGAAAGAGAAATGTGTGTGTGCGAGTGTGAGAGAGCGCACAGTATCGTTAAAAACGCTGTTGTTTTCGTTGTTGCTTTTTTTTTTTTGTTTTTTTTTTTTTTTTTTGTTTTCAGTTAGTGTTTTTGTGTCTTTTTATTGGAAGCGAGTTTATCGCACTCGACGAAACTTTAAGTCCCAGCATAAATGTGTATGTGTGTGTCTCCATGCGTAAGATATGCGAGCAACTTGGAAAGCTCAACAAAAATCAGCAGAGATGATCCTATGCAAGTGGCGCCCTCTGTACACTATATATATTGTACTTTGCGTGTTATGTACAGACACACACACATACATACATATGTGTGCAGAATTTTGTGTAAGGTGGTTGTTATGCTGCCGCTGCCGCTGCCGCTGCCAATGCTGCTAGAACGCTGACCATGTACAATTGAATGCGCATTTACTTGATTGTATATACATAAGTATGTTCGTGTGTGTTTGTGTGGGGGGAAGGGGGCGGCGGGTGGTAGGTCGGGTTTTATTGATGGCCACCTGCTCGCAGCAAAAACACCCACAGAGTGAACAGAAAACAAAAAAAAATATAAAAAAAACAAAGACCAGGAATGCTGCTTCATTGATTATTCACCAAAATTTACACAAACACAAGCACACTCATATACACAC